GCGGTGTCGTTCCCGGGGATGCTCATAGCCGACTCATTCGAGAGCTTCTGGGACATAGTGATGGTAGCGAGGGTGAAGTTGCCGGCCGACTGCGTGGGCGTGACAAGGGGCTGGATGATCTGGTAGAACCCGGCCTCATCACTAAGCCACTTGGGCCCAAAGTCCTTAGCCACAAAGTAAGGCTTCTTGGTATCTGCGCCCAGCTCAGCAGCGTCAGTGTGCCAGCCAGTCAAGTCTCCGGCCATCTTGGCGGCTGAATACGATCCGTTAACGAGGTCGCGCGACGGTGTGAAGTTTAGCTGGGCATAGACGTCGAACGACTCAAGCGATGCAATAACCTCGGCTGGGGGCGAGCTGCTGATAGCATCGTAGGGGCTTGCGTCGTTGATGTCATACGGGCTCTGCAAGGGCGAGGTGTAGTTCGCGTTGGCCAGCGCGTAGAAAAGATCTTCGAAACCTCCGGGCTGAATGACGCCAACCATGTCGGTATCTGGGTCGAGGACTTGAAAGGTATGAGTGGTGTTGTGCGGGACCGCTCCGTAGTCTCCCGGGGTCAGGAGACGGGCCTCTTCATTCTCATACGTCTCGGCGGAGGCGGTCCAGAGCTGGAAGCGGCCCTTGAGACAAAAGAAATTTTCGTAATGGCTTAGATGAACATGTGGCAGCACACCGAGGGAACCTGACGCAGGGGCTCCAGTTGAAACTAGTGTGAACGCATAGTCAGAGCTGGGGCCCGTTACCGGGAAGCGATACGTCTGCGCGCCGACGACAACCCCGGGGATACCGTAGTGGCGGACTGCATAGGGCCGAGGCGAAGATGGCACCTCGGATACCCAGAGGGTTGATATGGTTTCGGCCGAAGCTTGACGGTGCAGAGGCGTACGGCCCGGCGTGTAAGGGATCGCGGCAACTACCGAGACGGAGAGCCAGAGGAGATTGCTAAGGACAGAGAGCTGCATGATGACTCGGTCAGGGAGGGGAGAAGTGAATTCACGTAAGATCGTGCGTGTATTACAGAAAAAAAAAAAAAACCACGAAGAGCAGTACTGCTGGCTAAATACATGAATGAGATACTCGAGGATCTCAATATTCCTTAACCCGCCAGAAATAATACAATGGGGAAGCAGTGATCTCGCAACTTCCATTCTGCGCGTCGTCATCAAAAGAGGGGGTTGGCCCACGCGGTTTTGCTATTTGGCCTGTATCTAACTGCTTCTGGCAGGTGCGCGCCTAACTAAGGGTTATTAAAGTTTCTGCCCCACAAAGAGTGCGCAACACCTTCCTATTGAGACTAAAGTCTCCTCTCCCACAAATAATGCGCGAACACCTTCCGGTTTGGTTCGCGGTAACTTGACTGCTTCTGGTAAGTATATCGTTCTGTTCAATGTATAGTTGTATACATGGGTTGTACCGTCACCAGGGGCGCAAGACTCCATCTGTCGCGATGCCTTCACGACATCGCGTAGCCTTGTGGGGATCCAACCGGAGCAGGAACATCTAATAATCCGTACCCAGCGCCTGGATTCACGCATATCTACGAGCCAGAACAAGCAGTCAGGAGCGTAGATAGTCAAGCCGTTTTCCTATGACTTTCCGTGATCGAATAGGTGCATCGTGACACCATCACACAGATGCTTCTCGAGTGCAACGAGCTCGGGAGGATTGCGAAGATGAACTCTCTATAAAAACTTTACTCTACCTACTTTCTTCGCCTGCCGTCTTATCAACTGTTATTCCACTCATCTCCTCCATTGACCCCAGCCAACCTTCCCTCTTACATACTTTTCTTAGCACGCACTGTTAGTGCGTGCGTGTGCACTACACCTACCCCCTTAATAGCTATAATACCTTAACAAAATATTGGCCCTTGACAACTAAGGGCTAATGACTCTACGCCTACTGCTATAGCTAAGTATACGCCTACCCTCTTAGGTAATATCTACTGTCTTTAAATTAGTAGTTAGTAGAAGTTCCCTTATAAAAAAAGACTAGTAATTATTCTTAGTTTAATAATAATAACCTCTACCTAAGAGAACTTTACTTATATAATAATAGACCTAAAATAATAGCTTAGTCTAAATATATTAATATATAGCCTAATAGTAAATAATATATATATATAGTAAGTAAATAATAATAGTAAGTAAACTATATCTTCTTATCCTGTTATTATTTTAATAAGTTAATTTAACTATATTATATAAAATTAATTAAAACTATATATTACTTTATTCTTTATTACTATCTTAAACTACCTTATAGATTTATATATTATATTTAGTCTTTTTATAATTACTATATTATTATATATATAGTTTATTACCCTCTATATAACCCTCCTTTTAGGATATTTTTTTACCTCCAGCTTTAATACTTTCTTTTTCTTTTTATAGTGCCTTTACTTTAGTTATATTAAGTAACCCTCTAAGATATAGTTAGGTCTTTTTAGCTCTCTAGTATTTACTAAGTACCTTTATCCTTATATAAAGTTTATAGTTCTTTACCTTAATAATAATAAGTTAATATACTAACTTACTAATACTTTTTAACTATAAGTTAATTACTTTATATATTAGTATTAGTAAACTTCTTTAATACTCTTTAATCTTTTTTTTTAATTAAGTAAAGCTTTATATACTTTTAATTACTATTATTAGTGTCTTTAGGTCTTATAAGCTTACGCTAGTTAAATATAAGTTTACTAGTGTTAATATCTTTAGCTTAAAATCTAAGTAAAAAATAATAACTTTAAGATTAAAAAGTATAAGACTAGCTTACTAAAAACCTACTTATATATTAATTTTACTTATTAAAGTAAAAAATACTACTTTTAAAGTAGAAAGAAAGTTATTTTTAGTAATATATATAATTTATATCTATATTATTCTCTTAATCTTCTTACTATATAAGTACTTTAAAAGGCTAGAATAGCTAATATTAAGAGGCTAAAGCTTATATAATAAGTAAAAAAGTATATATAAAGTAATAATTCTTTTTTCCTTATAGTATTTATTAAATTTATTTAAGTTATAGCTATTATAGTTATCTAGGATTAAAAGGTAATAAGTACCTTTTATATAAGACTTTATATACTAATTAAAATAATTTAACTAATCTAGGCTAATTTTATTTATTATTTATTTATTTTTACTTAAGAATATATACTAATTAACTAAAAATTAGCTATTTTAGTACTAAAACAAAAAGTAATATTTACTTTTTATAATAATATATAAAGATATTATTTAGCTATCTATATATATATCTTAAATAATAAAAACCTATTTATAATTACTAGGCTACTTTATATAAGGCCTTTTATATTAGTTAAAAGTTATAATAACCTTTATATATAATAGTATTTTTATTAAGAATATAGTTTTATTAAAATTATAGATATTATAACTCTATATCTTATACTTTATAATTATATTTTATATAAGTATAAACTAGCCTTATATATTTATAGAATCTTTAGCTAAGGCCCTTTAATAGTTAATTTAATATTAAAATTATATTTTTAATTATAGTTATTTTTATATAAAGTACTTTACTTATTAAGGTCTAATATATATTATATTATATTTATTTAGAAGTTAGTTAGCTATATCTTATATATCTTCTTATTATAAAGGAAACCTTTAATTAATTAAGTTAATAACCTTCTTAAGAATTACCTTCTTCTTTACTTCTCTTATCTTCTTTAATTCTAGGTGTATCTTGTCTTATATAATATATCCTATATATTAGTAATAAAGTGTTATACAAGGGACCTTAAAGACAGTAGCTACTTTTTATTTAAATATTTCTAGGTCTTTTTTAATAGCTTAGAGGGCAAAAATAATATAGTTTTTAATTAGAAAGGATTATATATTTATATATAGAGGAATATTAGTATAAAGGTTAAAGAGGTATAAAGAAAGAAAACTAGTCTAGTTACTATAATTATTTACTTACTATATATATATATTATAAGTTAAATATAATTAATACTTTAGTTAAAGAAAATACTAAATAAAATTATTTTCCTTAATAATAACTATAGATATATAGTAAATATACTTATAAAAAGTCTTTAGTAGTCTTTTTCTTAAATTAAAGGTATAAGTAATTACTAAGATACTATAGACTTTTATAATTACTTACTTTATATTATTCTTAAAAGAAATAAAGCCTTATAAAAAGTCTAGGTACCTAGAATAATAGTCTAGAAATAGCCTAACTAGCTAGCTTTAAAGCTAGTAGCCTAGATATAATTATAAACCTAGCTAATAGACTAGCTTATAATACTTTAGAAAAGCTTTTACTATTAAAGACCTCTTTAAGGTAAAAGAAATATATAAAAATAAATATAGTAATACTATATAAACTACTATATCTTTATTAAGATCTTAAACACCTAGGTTACTTCTTTTATTATCTATAGAGATATTACTAGAATTTATAAAGCTTAAGTTATAAATATTAAAAAAATAACTAAAGTACTAACTAGTTTTATAATTACTATAGACTACTATAAAATAAAATAAGCTATACTTAATAGCTACCTTAAGCTATCTAAATAACTTAGTATAACTACAATTAATAGTACTTAGGCCTAGTTATATTATAAAGTTATAGAAGTCTTAGTAATAATATATAACTACTATATAAACTTAATTATAATAATAAAGATAATAATTTAAACTTAAATATAAATAATAAAGAATTAATATATAAGTATAAGGAATTAATATATAAGTATAAGCCTTATATAGGTATAAGATATATACTCTTTAATTAGTCTAGGAAATAGATATTAATATAACTAAATTCTACTAGACCTATATAAGCTAGCCCTCTTTTTCTTATTCCTTCTTATAATAAGGTTAATTTATTTAACCTTAGGTTTATCTATAGTATTTACTTACTATAGCTTTATAATATATTCTATAGTATAAAATATAAGTATTTTATCTTTTTACTATAAGTTATATCTTAAAAGAGTAACTAGTAATTAATTATAACTTACTACTATTACCTAGCTACTTACTACTATTTTTCTCCTTTAAAAGTAACTATCTTAGTGTTAGCTAGTTTTATAAAGCTAGTAATCCTAAGAGATAATATAACCTTATAGCTAAGCGTTTATTAAGCTTACTTTAAGATATATAACCTTTTCTATACTATAAACTATATTATACTAGTATAAAGCTAATACTTTATTTTACTTACTATTTCTTTTAAAAAATATTAAAAACTTAGTAAATAATTCCTTTTTAACTTTCTTTAAAGTATAATTTATTCAGTAGTCTTAGTAATCTTTTTATTTTACTATATTATAGTTTAATAGTACTTTTAATCTTATTTAATAAGTTAAGAAGATTAATTAATACCTAATAATAGTACTTCTTTAATAATAAAAGTATATTTATTAATAATAAGAATAATAAGGTCTTTAAGCTAATCTACTATCTTATTTACTACCTTAATAATAACTTTTCTCTTAAAGTAAAGCCTTCTTTTGAAATATAGCCTTTTACTATACCTAAAGTAATAGATCTTTTCTTTATAAGTAAAATCCAAAGTTAACTAATTCCTAGTAATCTAGAATAAACCTTTAATACCTTCTTTAATTAAGTTAATAGCTTTATAAAGGCTAATAAATTTAGTATTATAAAGTAAAATAAATATTAATACTATAGCTAAGTTATATAATATACTATCTAATACAATTAGTTTAGTAAGCCTAGGGCTATAGAAAGTACTAATATTTAATAGTATAAGTCTTAAAAGAATAGCTATAAATAGTAAGTAATTATAGAAGCTTTTTTAAAAAGATAATAGCTATAAGATTATTATTTAGACTTTTAGTATAGTTAGTATAACTATAGTTTTAGCCTTAAAATATTTATATACTTTTATTACTATATAGTAACTTAGTCTATAATAAATACTATTAAGATAATAAGCTAATAAG